ATGCAGAACATGCAGGGGTGAGTGAAATAGCTTGGGACTGCTTGGGACCGTTGTTCTGGTACTGAGTGAGCCAAAAATAATAATGATTTTCTTCGGGACCCAGTGGTCTTAGAGTTACCTCTATGGTGGTACGCCGTTGTTCGCAGATGGCTGATTCCAAGACTGCGAACCAACTCGGAAAACAGCGACGATTCGAACTGGCGTCCTTGGTCCGTGGTGATGTAACTCGGTACGCCAAAGCGAGAAATCCACCAGGTGACAAGTGCTTGAGCGATCGTCGGTGCAGTCATGTCAGGAACAGGAAATGCCTCTGGCCACCGAGAGTACCTGTCAATGACGGTTAGGCAGTAACGATGACCATTGCTCGGAGGAAAAGGGCCAACAATGTCGATGTTGATATGGGAAAACCGACTATCTGGCATCGAATATCGAGTAACAGGTGATTGTGTGTGGCGCGTCACCTTTGACCGTTGACACTGCAAGCAGCTCCTGGCAAAAGCGATGCTGTCTTTCCGTATGCTCGGCCTAACGAATCTTTGAGTCATCAATCTAGCCGTTGCACGTGTACCAGGATGAGAGAGATTGTGTGTTGCTTGCAGAGCAACGTTACGAAAGCCTTTCGTAATGAACGGTCGAATGCGATCCTCAGAGCAATCACAAAACAATTGTTTTGAATTGCCTGGAATGCTAAAAAGTTTTAGCTTTAACGATGTGTTCGTTTTACCTTGCACAATATGCTGGAGCTCCTCGTTGGTTTGTTGATCAGTAGCAAGGGCGTCGAAGTCGATCGATGGGAAAGCTTGAACTGCGACGATGCGAGAAAATAAATCGGCTACGATGTTTTCCTTTCCAACTATGTGCCGGATGTCCGTCGTGATTTGCTCGATGTAGTCCAACTGGCGAGCTTGACGATTGGTGGCTTTGTCGAGCTTTTGACGGAAGGCAAAGATAATCGGCTTGTGGTCGGTGTAGATGTGGCAGCTTCGTCCTTCTAGCATGAACTTGAAGTACCGCATTGCGAGGTAAATCGCGGTTAGTTCGCGATCGTATGTGCTGTATCGAAGCTGTGCTTTGTTGATTTTTTTGGAGAAGAATCCCAGTGGCTGAACGTTTCCGTCCACTAATTGATGTAGGACTGCCCCTGCTGCTATGTCGGATGCGTCAACCCAGAGAGATAGCTCGGCTGATTTGGCAGGATGTGCCAGTAATGCTGCCTGGGCGAGTTGTTGTTTGCACCGATCAAATGCTGCAGTGGTTTCGTCGGTCCAGACCAATGGTGATCGATCGTTGCGTTTATTGCCGGGGGTCATCAACAGCAATGGTATTTGTGCTTCGATCGCGTTTGGGATGAACCTCCGATAGAAGTTTTTTTTTTTTTTTTCCTTTGGTTTGTTTTTTCTGTCGATCTTGTTTTCCGTGCTGAGCACCAATGCTACCGACGTGCCAGGAAGGCAGCTCCCACACCTGGACCCTACCTATCGACCCATCAACTCATGAACCGGGGACCAACGGCTTTACTTCCCATCCGAAGGAAGGCGTGATCAGAGATGTTATGCCTCAGAACATCCCGGTGGCGCCGACTGGGATTGAACCCAGGCCTGCTGGGGTGAGAGGTTATCACGCTTACCACTACACCACCGGCGTCGTTATCCGATAGAAGTTGATCATGGCCAGGAAACTTTTCAACTCCTTCACTGTCGATGGTTTCTTGAAGTTTTGGACTGCTTCCACGCGATCTGGCAAGGGACGAATTCCTTCGGCGGATACAGAATGTCCCAGAAAGGTTATTGCCGCACGGCCAAACTCGCATTTGGCAACTTTTATTGCCAAATTGTGTTGCTTTAGTCTCTCGAAGAGTTGGCGCAAATGATCACGATGTTCTTCAGGCGACGACGAGGCGATGAACAAGTCGTCAATGTACGGAAAGATGAAGTCCAATCCCCGAACAACCTCGTGGATTAGCCGTTGGAATGTATGGGCCGTATTTCGTAATCGGAACGTCATGTACGAAAACTCAAAGAGTCCAAACGGTGTCGTAATGGCTGTCTTGGGTATGTCCTTGGGATCGATTGGTACTTGGTGGAACACCTTTTGCAAGTTAACTTTAGAAAAAAAATAGTTTTACCATAGAGGTAACTCTAAGACTAGAAGGTCCCGAAATAACGTGCTCAACTTTTTGGCTCAGCTCTGGTACTCTCTTCGGTCCCAAGCTAATCGATTCACCCCTCGAAACATAGGAAAAACCAATAACCCCTCATTTTATCTGTCAAACTTTCATAGCGAATCAAAACAAACATTGCGTAGTACTAGAATTTCGACTGGAATAGGGTACGTTAATCGTTTGCTTGGGACCAATAGGCTACTAAAGTGGTGAGCCAATTTAAAATCGTTAGTTTCGTATTGATTGTTGGTTTTACCTTGTAAAATGGTCGTAAAATCCTGTAGGTACGGAAGCGGGTATCTGTCGGGAACAGTCTGAGCGTTCAGGGCGCCAAGATCCATCAGCTTTCTTCACCATATGTAGCGGGCTGGCCCAGTTACTGCTGGACGGCCTGCAGATTCCTAGCTTCATCAGGTGTTCGAACTCCGTACGGGCTGCTTCGAGTTTGTCCGGTGGAAGACGCCTCGGCCTAGCGTAGACAGGTTGGCCGGTTGTCTCGATACTGGTGGAGCTAGTCGTGTGATGCTTGGAAATTCAGCTAATATTTCAGCGTACAGCGACACTGCACTGAACGTCTTGATGGAATACTCACTAGTTCGTGCAAGAATTCCTGCCGATTCGAGTCTTGTGGTGTTGTCGATGAGGCGATTGCGTTTCAAATCGATCAACAAATCGGAATTGCAACTAAAATCTGCACCAATGATTCCCGATGTGACGTCAGCGATCAAGAACGTCCACAAAAACTGTCGACAAAGACCAAGATTCACTTTAAGTAGTGCTTCTCCGTACACCTTGATTGGTGTTCCGTTGGCGGCAAATAATTTCATCGTGGTGGGTTTCATCTTGCTTGAACTGGAACCTCTCGGAATAACGCATACGTCGGCTCCAGTATCGATCAAAAACTGCATACTTGTAGTCGTTTCCGAGATTTTTAGGCGAAAAATAACGCCTGCGCTGGAAATTTCGCCGATTTCCAACGAAGATTCCACCATGTGGCGTCATTGTTTATTTGCTGTGCCGGACGATAACGATTGGCTGAATTAGCACGGTTTTCGACACTGTCGTGCTTCATGTCCAAGGACGCGATGGTACCAGCAAGATTCAACAGCCGGTGTTTTATCACGTTGAGCAAACTCTGACTTACCTCGAAAACTGCCAGTGCCACGTGAAGAAAGTACCTTTTCGAGTTTGCTGGTCAACTGTGCAATTTCACGATGAAGAGTTTCAATGCTGCTTTGCGCTGGTTTCGGCTATCGGCGAACTGTTCGATGAGCTTTTTTTTATGTACGCGTACTTTTCGTTGACTGGTACAGCATCAATAATTGAACGCAGCTCCGTTAGCTTGTTCTGAGGAACTTGTGCCACCACGATATTGTATTTTCGCGCGTCGTATTGAGCGTGGGCACCGATACCAGAGGCAGCAAACCAGAATTCCAACGAGAGAAAATACGATTCGATATTCGATTCACTCATGCTCGGCGGTTGGATGCACGGTGCACTTATCGATTCTATTTGCACGCCTGGTGCAGGTTCGGGTTTTGGCTCAGTCATTTCGCGAAAATGTACGTTTACGACCGATTACTACTTCGATTGCGATAGCAGAATTCGAAACTGTTATGATTTTTCACTAGGAACGTCGGGGTCACCAATTTGGCACACGGGCCAGAAAAAAACTGTGTTCACTTCCCTAGTGGATAAACAATTATATTATCAAAATATATCTACAGGGTTTATATACAGAGGCCGGGAGTCCGGTCAATGCCTTTTGGCTAATATAGAAAAAAAATTCCTTTAGAAAACTGGTGCAGAAGGCAATATAAAGGGTTATTGTTTAAATTTATTTCTACCGATCGGGTGCGAGATGTTGCACCGTTGATTAATGATGTCGCATCGATGATGCGACGTTGATGATGCTACATGCATTTTAAGATTAAACTCGTAAACCTCGGCGTGCAATAGTTTAAAATCAAAATGTACTTACAATGCATAGAGACGGTTTATTCGAGAGAATGTATTTTTCGCTTCTTTATTTTATTTATGGTAAATATTATTGTTTTCAAATAAAAATTTAAATAATCTCAGGAAGGTTTATTAATTCAGTGCCAACATTTCAAAGGGGTGTAATTGCATTTGTAAACAATGGCTTTAGCCGTCGATTTCTCGTGAGTTAAAGCTCACTCATGAAAAATAGTGACACCAACAGGTAGATAAATGTTTCCTCTACCAACTAGCATTGTTATTTTGTAGGGGTGAGACTTCATTCGCAAGAAATTGGCGGCTGTTTACAAAAGCAATTACGCCCCTTTGAAATGTTGGCACTGAATTATTTTATTTTTAATGAAAATATTATTAAAACAATACGTACAATTTCGATATTCCTTAGGATGAACTCGTGCTCACGCAGTCTAGCTCTCGGTCTAGCTGCCCAACTGATCACATGCGCAGTAGAAATCCGCCGGGACGAAGCTCTTCACCAGCACGAAGCTCCGAAGAGAATCCAAATGTTCTTTTTCCTATCATGTTAGTAAACACCGATCGAATTCCACTCTGTTTTTCGGACTTAGTATAATTCTGGCGAAAAGTTTAATCGGACCAATGTAAAAAATTTGGAAAACCATAAATTGCATAAAAATTAATCTATATTCATTTGTAATATTTTTGAGTGTAGATAGAGATAAAAGAGTAAGAAGCCAGTAACAACTGTTGTCTTCTCTTCCTCTTAGGTCCGTGCAGAGGAATTAAGTTTTCGCAAAAGCTCACTGATTTTCAATGATGATAGATAACGGTGTTGAGCTTCCACTTGTTGTTGTTGACGTTTTACCATCAGACGGTTCGTCAGTGGTCATCGCCGTCGTTAATTCGTCACTATAAAAATCTGCAGTTTTGTGTTCTTTTACGTATCTAAATTTCAAAAAATGCATTATTAATATTATTTAGTTTCGTGTATTTATAACAACATTTTCAATTTGTGATATTTATTATTATTAATACTGTTATTTAACAATGAGTGCTGAAAATTATCGCAGTGCAACGAAGTGTAAGTCCGTGATGTGGCTCACAATTTCGATTTCGAATCCATTAAACATTTTTTTTTTTCAAACTTCTGGCAGCGCACGACCCTGGCTGGAATGACCCTCCGAAGCTCAGCTACAGCCCCGGTGTGGTCACCGGGCAAACACCGAAATTAAATCTGAATAAGCGAATCGCTTTCCCGGTAGCAGGAACAACCGCTGTAAATCAACCACCACCAGTCCCAGGTGCGGCCGCCATCGGTAGCTCTCTTCCTCAATTTGTTCCAGCTGCTTCCTCCGGACCACCAATGGCAGGTCCACCTCGTAGTGTCAATCCGTCTGCACCACCAATGCTGACGGTTGGGACACCTCCTCGAGTTGGTCAGATCGATAAGCCCAGTTCGAATGCAGTCGATGATACGCTGGTGTACCCGAAAGATGACGAAATGAGGGACTTTGTGAAAGGCATTCTCGGGGATTTTCTATTGAAAACAGATAGTACACGGCAAGCGGAGATTCGGAAACGTTTGGATTTAATGCAAGAAAGCTGGAACGATGGGAAATTGAGCGATGGTCTCACTAGAAAGCTATATCGATTAGCATTTGGTATTATGAATGATGCAACATTGATTGGATTGGAAGGTAACAGTAATATAATTGTTTATTTTGCAGCACTGAACGAAGGAAGAGTATCGGATGCGAATGACGGTCATCGGTCAATTATAGTCGAACACGGCAAGGAATGCGTTCAGTGGGCTCCGGCGTTAAGACAGTTGATTCAGGCTGTTCCTACGCCGGCAGAAATGGTCACTGAAGCAACTGAAGGGGATGAGAAGGAGGCCATCACGAAACCTTTATGATTGGTGTGCAATTAAAGTGCAAACTCCTCAGTGGATTTCTGTAAACATAATGAACGTCCGAAATGCAATTTCATTTAGTTGATCAGAAAGAACTTCCATGCGAATCTAGTGTGATGGGTACAGTACCCGTTCGATTTTGGCAAGAAAGCCACAAAACCGTTCGTTGTGATTACAATTTTTAATAAGGGTTGATGCATATATTATGTCACGCTCTAAGGGGGGGTAAAGTAATGCATTAGGTATAGGAAAAACGTCACGATAGGGGAGAGGGGGTAATTTTTGCTCGATTTAGCGTGACATAATTAATGCATGGGCCCTAAGTGGTTAATTTTTTTGCCACCGCGAGTCATCTTTCCTCCTTATTCTGCGAGTCAAGTGACAGTGGGGGTTATTCCGAAAGTCGAAGTGACTTTTGTCAGTAGTGAAGTGAGAAAAGTCACGTCGTGGTGACGTGACTCTCTGTGCAAATCAAATTAATGAAGAGTCACGTCACCACGACGTGACTTTTCTCACGTCACTAGTGACAAAAGTCACTTCGACTCTCGGAATAACCCCCAGTGCGCTGTACCTTCTGACCTTTGCTAAGGGGACAATTCGACTACAGGATATACAAAAAAGCAAATCGCTTTACAATGTAATGTACAATGCTTCAGATGCCAGCAGTTCGGTCATGAAATGCGGAACTGCAACCACCGTCGAACCGACATGCCACAGGAGCATTTCGTTTGTCCACAATTCGTATTGTCAAACGAGCTATTCGAACTTTCAAACGGGCGATCAGATCTGTCTAACGAGGTGAGACGCAAACCAAGGCAATACAAATTATACGTGGGTTCGTGTCCTTGCTCATGGTATGACGTGATCGGATAAGTAGTTGTTGGTAGTGTTTAACGTATTTTAATATGGCGTCTTGGGCACAAATTTGAAAGTAGCTTGAATGAGTTGTCACGTCGGTGATAGTTCTGCAACGGAAAGATATTTATGGCTAACTTTAATATGTTTCCGAAAGTTACGTGAACATGTTTCAAGCCTAATAATATGAATTATTCGTCTAATTTCAAAAATTGAATCTTAACTTTAGGATTTATTCAATAACCGCCCAATTTCATTTGTTCGTTTTGGAGTTAAAAAAAGCCTGTGTGACGTCAATTCCGTGGACAAAGGAGGTAACATACCTAGGTCTAACCCTAGACCTTATAGGCAAAGTAAACGAACTTATAAAATTCTTATACCTGCTCATCAATCGAAGGTCAAGCTAGCAACTAGTCAACAAACTTCTACTGTATGGACGCTGCTGTACAAAAAGCCACCTTAAACGACTCCAGGTGAAACGAACCCAATTGCACAAGATGATCCGCATTTCCCCACGTATGAACTCCACGACATTACTGAAGTAGATAGTCTTCAATGCTACATCAACAGAATAGCATCCTCCTGCAGGATATCTTGAAAAAGTTTCTTCGAATCCGCTAATAGTAGCATTATTTCCATAATTCTGTGAAACTATTGTAGGCACCCGTTAGGTACACTTTGATTTCGAGGGTTTTTTTGGTTGAATATTTTTTTCCTAAACCACTTTAATTTGCAAAAAAAAACTAGCAACTTACGAAAAACTAAACATGAATAAGCTGCAGCTGTAAGGTAATCCAAATCTCTGCAAAAAAAATATAATACTGAACTAAATGTAAAATGACCAACTCAACAAAGACAATAATAATAATAGTTGTTGTTGTTGTTGTTTATTGCCGACACTTTACACAAAGAAGAATACTAAGATGAAACTGTCGGAAGAAAAACTTTCTATTTAGTGTCCTTTTTCACGGTCCCTTTCATCCAATGAATATGCAAGGTAATTTTGTGGTTTTGCTGCCCCCTCGGTAGAGATTAAATTTGGCGCACTTTTTATCAAAACAATCGCACCAAAATCAGAGATGTCCCATTTTTTAACTACTCGATTAACAACTAATCGATTATTTTTTGTTCGCTGTGGTGTAATTTTTCCACCAATGAGAGTTCAGCACATGTTTGAAACGATTGGTTATCATCCTCTGGAAAAGTTAATGCTTATAAATGCATGATATAACCTATTACAAATAGGGGAATTTACGTATTCTCGACAATCTAAGCAGCGTCTGCACTTCTACTAGCATTTTCTCAGCGTCACGCACATATATGATGTGTCTGTTTGTTTACATTCATCTGCTGCTTGCTTCTCTATCCATTCCAATCGACAGAATTTTTCAAAACGTTTTGAAAGCGTTTTTACAACGCTCCAAACTTCTCAGGTGAGTGTGACTATTGTCGGCAGCCTCTTTTTCTTCGGCAACCTTCCCATTAGAACTGCGTGTTAACCAGCTGTTCTATTATCGGCAACTCGAAATCAACCCCATTTTGTAGTGCGTATGCTTTATTTGAAGAAAAATGTAGCATTACTGGATTGCTCGATCGTTCAAATATAATCAGATTGAAGCTGAAAGGCTAAACAATCGTTTGGACACATTCAGGGAAGTGCGTTGATGGGAAAACATAGTGAAATTAACGTTTAAATTTAGGTTGCCGAAAACAGTCAATGGGTGCCGAAGCCAACATTTACCCTATGTTACTTTTCGGTTTGTTAATCGATTAATCGATTATTCGAATGAAAATCGGCCATCACTAGATGAATGTGAAACGTCATTTCAAATATAAGGACCGTACATAAATAATGATACAATTTGAAATCTACTGCTGTATCTTCTTTTCCTTGGTTCGTTCCACTACATATTCATTGCTTCAGATTCAATTCTTTGCACTTTTTGTTTTCTTCTCTATTTCATTCATTTCTTCACCTTCATATTATATTCAAATTTCTTCCTCTACGCCTGCTGCTAATTCCCTTCGTCATCTCATATTTCTTGCTTCTTGTACTCCCATCCGCTACCACATTATTTTCCTCTCCGACAGCTTCTGCTTCCCCTCCATCCTCATTTCATTTCGTGCTTCTTGGATTTCCATCCGCTTCAATCTTCTTTTGATATTCGGCCATCTTCTTCATCCGTGTTTGTGCCTGTATTCACCTTTCTGTCTTCTTTCGCCCCTTTTCGTTTTGCTTCGCGCTCTATTTCATCCTCTGCATAACCATCTTCTTCTGCTTTCTTCGCATCATCTTCTGTCATCTTCATCAGCTTCCATTTTTGCCCTTAGGCAGCGGCAATTTTCTCCTTCGTCTTCTTGATTTTCCTTCGTTCTTCTGCCCGCTTTCTTCGCTTGATCTTCTGCCCGCTTTCTTCACATTATTATCCATTCATGTCTTCATCTGCTCCCACTTTGTATGTTTCTTCTTCATCATCCTTTGTTTTCTTCTGTTGTCCTGAACGTCCTCTGAATCCGCTTCTCTTTTTTCCTCGTTTTCACAATGTTTGATAGATATTAGCTTCATGTGGGAACGTCAGTAACCACTTTTCACTGTCATCATCGTTGCATAGTGCCGTATAAAGACTAGTTGGATCGATCTCATGTTTCGTCCTGACTGCTTCAAATTTCCTGCAGTGTAGAATTACGTGCCGGACATTCATAACCGTTCCACAGCATTCGCATGTCGGTGGCGATGATTTATTTAATAGAAATTCGTGTATCAGCCTGGTATGGCCGATGCGCAAACGAGTGAGTACTCGCTGGTCGGCAGAACTTTTCTGATCGATCCTCGGATCCACTTTTTCGAGTCACGTTTTATCTCCTTCAGCTTGACTTCTGTAAGTTGCGCCCATCGTGCCTCCCACTGTTGACCGATACCTTGGTTCATTGCCTAACTGGCATCTTCTCCTGGAATACCGATATTGATTGGCGGATTATTTCGTGCTTCTCCGGCGTGGCCGGGAACCTAACATAAGTGAATTGGTTGGTTTCGAAGCAGACATTCAATTTCTTGGATCCAGGGATGATGCGATTTGCCACTCTCTATTGCTGAAAGATAGCTAGCCGAATCGTACAGAATGATCTCGTCATTTATTGTACTCGCCTCGTTGACAGCCGATTTGATCGCATAGGCCTCCGCCGAAAACACACTTCATTGTGACGGAAGGCCTATTGCTCTCTGCACGCTGCCACTGAATACTCCTGCTCCTACTCTGTCTTCACACCTAGAACCGTCGGTGTAGATAGCTGTAGCACGTCCCAAACAATGCGTCGCTTGGGAGCATGCCATACTCGATTGGCGAAACGTGTCCGTACAGCGATGGTCAGAAAATTTATACCAACCGCCGCCAGACGATCGGATACACATTGGAAGACTGGAAGGTCGACATTTCTGTGATCTTTTTCCAGCAAGCGAATGGCAACTCGAGATGTAGCTTGAAAAACCAGGAGAAAACCGATTGGTAATGTGCCCGCTTCAGCCATGATCGCTGGAATCGGGCTGTTGACGTACGCTCCTGAGGCGAACCGGACCATCCGGTTGTAGATGGGCGCGAGAGTTTGCACAACCTTATCCTTCGCTCTGCTGACAAGTCCGATGCCGTAAAGAATGCGTGACGTAACGATTGCCGATCCTATGCATAGAAGAGACTCACGTTGCCCTCGTGGAAGTTTAGCCTCAATCATTTTAAGAATTCGCAGCCTTGAGTAATAATAACAGTAATAACAATAATAATAATGGTCTATTTAGGACTAATCGGACCAAATTCAATCGATCTTTGAAACGGGAGTTCTTCAAAACTTGAGCACCAATCAAACATACAACTCCAAAGCAATGTCAAGTACTTTAATGGAGTGGTTCTTTCTTGCCCAACAATTGGCATATTATACATAGTACTTAATTTTCCTCACCGAAACACTTTACTTGACCACATTGAAAACGAAACTATCTCAGGGAGTGAGTCACTTTTACTCATCCGTATGGAGAAATTTCTAAAAACGTAGGTCACTCAGCGCATGAGTAACCTACGTTTTTAGAAATGTATCCATACGAATGAGCAAAAGTGACTCACTCCCTGAGTAAGATTCGTTTTCAGTGCATACGAAGGAAAAAAAAACAAATCCACTTTCTATTCGTATCCAGCAATGATGAAGTTCTCATCAACGCCGATATGTTTGTACGGTATATGTTGGCCACTCGGAGTAAATTTTGGACTTCCTACAACAACCTTCGAGCCGAAAAACAAAAGTCGAAACACACACATAATACATATCCGGCAGACGCTAGGAGGATGGACAGAGGAAAAAAGTAGTTGTCTCTTAAAAAATAAATAAAAGTGTCCCTACTGTGTAAATGCTTATCCGATCGGTTTCCGCGGGGCTTACATAGAATAGCACGAAATTATAATAGTTTGGTCAAAAAAAAATCTCTATCTTCTTTTCCAGTGATTCAATTTCTTAATCGAAAAATATACCCTTTTTTTTTTTGAAGCAATAAATTCAATTTCGAGATCCATAGGTTTTTCAGTGGTTGGTTCCTAACATGACATATTCGCTTTGCAATCCCTGGATACCCACGTACGCGTTCCGATTCCGACGAAAATTAAGAGAGAAAACGTTTAAAGATGAGAACAGAAAAAAGCAAACTTGGGATAAAATCGAATTGATAAAAATTTAAAATAAAAAAAAAAACACAAAAATGATGAAATGAAGAAAACAAGATTTGGAGTTTTTTCAAAGGTTTTCTCATTTTTCGTACTAATAAACATATTTTCACAGTTGAAGAAAAGATCGCACTCGTAAAAATAAAATTGTAAAGTTTTTCTCATTTTTTCGATTAGCTACATCGGAGCAGATCTGAAACTTTGCACCGCTCGAAAGCGTAAATCGAAAGGTAGACCTCAAGATGGTGCCACCTGTTTTCCGTACTTTCAAACCGTGGATAATTTTTTGAAGAAAAATCCCTCTCAACCCAATCAGGACACCCTTATTGATGCTGGACTGATATTCTTTGCAATTGAACTCACGGGGGGAAAAAGAAAAGCACAATCAAGGACAATGTTAACCCAGACCCTCCCCCTATACACTGGTCGTTGCCATCGCTGTTGCCGCTGTGGTCTTATGTTTCTTATAATGGTAGTCGGTCGTGTCGAATAGTTGGGCCATATCGGTGATGAAGGGTTTTTTGGCCGACTCAAAGAATAGCTCGTGCGAGTACTTGTGACGGACGGTGTTCAACGATTCCTTCGGCTTGCGCGTCATGATATTGTTAAGAAGGATGGCAATTTCGGCAAATTCTTCGATTGTATAGCCTGCAGAGGAGAACAAGCGTGTTACATTTTTCTTCTGAATATTAAAGTGACCATGTTACCTGAATAAAACTCCAGTGTCTTGTTCCACCCGGACATGTTGTTCATGCGCATTGCGATAAACAACGCAGCACAGGCCAGCTTCGAATCCCGCAGTCCAACGATGGCATAATCCATCAGGGTGAACTCCAGAATGTACCGCGCTAGCGTCAGCACCTGCATATCGATGCGATTGACACGAGCATACCGCCGCAGGAACCGGTACGACAACGGAATACCAAGATCGTATCCGATTTCCTTGAACACGGTCATCTCCATAAGGATCATCTCGCGCCGCTGGTAAGCACCATCGCAAATGTACTGGAAATCGTCCACCGTGGGCGGGACCCGTTCCTAATTATGAAACATTCAAAATGACGTCGATTAACCAAATGTATACCGTCAGCAATTAAAGGCAAAAAACACGACTCACATCATACTTCGAAGCGATAAACAGCGCCGCAGCTCCCAGTAGTTGTAGCGAGTCCTTTTGGACCTCTGCTCGGGCAAGATAAATATCTACAATTTTTACCGCCAGGTAGAGAGTTTCATGATTCAGTTCGAACGACTCTTGAATCTCCACCATCCAATCTACGAGCAGTGCCCGCATCCACTTGCTAATGTGCGGTTGCGTGGGCATGTAATCCGGAATAACAAACTGAGCTTCCCGTTCCTTCTGGTAGGTAAAAATGTCCCGCGCATAGTGCGACACCTGAAACACGTCGTTCCAGTTCAAAAGGTCATAATCATCGATCCCCTCGGGGGTTAGCTTTCTCGGAGAAGCCGAATCTTCCCTCCTAGCTTGATCGTTCTTGCACTTGTCACTCGGAGTTCTAGACCGCGATGGACCGTAATTCTCCGATAACCGCAGCGAACCACTGGACGTAATGTCCTCCAGGGCCGAGACGTACAAGCTATCTTCAGTCTTTTCGAATTCGTTCGATATTCGCCGCTTTGGTGGTTTGCCATGCTGGGTCGCAGCAGCACCCGGCGCTACGGCCGTTGTTTGCAACTTATGACCACCCTCAAAGCCGGTCTCTTTCGTCTTAACAATAGTTTTGGTCATTGCCGAGATTCCACCCTTCAACGGGTGCCCGATCGATTGTTGGTTCTTTCCACTGGTGCCATTGGTAGTGCTACTGGCGTTGGAGCTCTTCACACTCAACTTCTGGCGACTGGCAGCGCGGGTCAGGATCTTTGTCGCGGCACGTGTCTTTGGTCCATCGGGATCTGGTTTGGTGAATACTTCCGTCTGAAAACAGAAAAAAAAAAAATAGTTCAATAAAGATCACTCAAATCTTACAAACACCAATCCTTACAACAGTCTTGCTGGCTGCAGTCTTGTTCTTGTGGTTGTGTCCAATATTGCTAGCTATCTGCTGGATCAGCTGTGTGGCATGTTTGCTAATAGTCGACCCGGTCGATTCCTTAACTCCGGTGGCTCCTCCCTTGAGGGCGCCGATCGCGGTCTCTGCATCGTTGATCGCAACAGCGTTGGTCAAATTCCCGAGAGCCGACCGTTTTACTCCTCGATCATTCTTCAGGGGGCTGTGTTCAGCTTTCCGTTTGGTTCGCTGCATTGGCTGTTGATCGGTGTCGGGGTTTTGGTTCTGATTTGGGCCGGTTGCTTTCGATCTGTAGCGGAAGAAGAAAGAGGACATGTATGTGATAAGGGACCGAACGTAGATCGTTTATATCCGTGAATGGCGTTAAAATTAAGTACAAGGACGACCGACAAACGCATCCACTTCTGCGGAAGAAAACGGCTTACATACATCATATGTTTGTACAGGCATTATATGTACCTCGATATAACGTACCTGTTACTGTGTTTTTACTTCCATCGCCGATTTTTCGCAAACGATCATTAAATTAAATTAAAGTAAAAACACCATCGGATAGGTGCGACAATCCTTCATCTATTGGTTCATTCGATCTTGTTTTCTATATTGAGTAGTAATGTTACCGACGCCAGGGAGCCTAGGCTGGTTCGTCTCTGGGAACCCCAGATGGGGATTCTCCTAGTTGAGGGGGGTGGGAATTCCAGGGGAAAATTACCCTAATAACATAGTTTGGATCAGCGGCGCCGGTGGTGTAGTGGTAAGCGTGATTGCCTCTAACCCCAGCAGGCCTGGGTTCAATCCCAGTCGGCGCCGCCGGGATGTTCTGAGGCATAACATCTCTGATCACGCCTTCCTTCGGATGGGAAGTAAAGCCGTTGGTCCCCGGTTCATGAGTTGTGATGGGTCGATAGGTAGGGTCCAGGTGTAGGAACTGCCTCCCTGGCGTCGATAGCATTGGTGCTCAGAACGGAAAACAAATCAAGGAAAAAAAACATAATTTGAATCCCAGAGGAGGATCTCCTAAAAAGGCATGGGGCCCATCTAGGGTAGCCAGAAACAGAGTTTTTAGAAACGAAGTTTTTAATTTGATGGCCCCGGGAGGGAACCTCCAACAAGAAGGTGGGACCAGGGCGTCACAATATCTAAGAGGAAGGGGCGACAACTGGCTTCTTTTTGTATGTGACGTGTTCTTCTTCTCTCGAGGAAACGACCGTGCAAAAATTAGTTCATTATAGGCGGCGCAGTCGAATGTCAAAATAAAAGCTTGCCATCAGCAGCCTTCGTTCATTATAGTCGTTCCGGACGTGCTGTCGGATGTGGAGAGGGGGTCTTGCAAGTCACTCACTATGGCGAGTATTCAATCATACTTGCCTGATGTATATGTGATTTCCAGGGAGAGCAGTTGTTTGATTCCTTGTCGCAAGCAGGACGTCGTGATCTTCTACCAAAACGCCAGTGGAATGAATTCTGTTGATGTTGAAGAATACCGCCTAACTGTATCGGATTGTTGCTACGATGTAATTGTCTTGTGCGAAACGTGGCTCGATTATCGAACGCTTTCCAGTCAAGTCTTCGGTCCTGACTACGAGGTCTTTCGTTGCGATCGGAACCCAACAACAATCGTAAATCTACTAGTGGAGGTGTCCTTGTAGCTGTCCGTGGCGGGTTGGAGGCAAAGGCCATCGAGAAAGATTTATGGAACTATGTGGAGCAGGTTTGGACAGCCATCAATCTGGGTAATCGCACACCATTTCTATGCGCTCTGTACATTCCACCTGATCGAGTCCGGGACAATGAACTCATCGATACTCACTGTCGGTCAGTTTTCACAGTTATCGAAAGTGCCACTCCAGTTGATGATATATTCATTTTGTGTGACTTCAATCTACCAAGCGTTTCGTGGACTCCATCTCATAACGGATTCCTGTATTCAGATCCTGATAGCTCTACATTTCACGCAGGAGCAATTAACCTTCTCGACAACTACAGCGCAGCAACGCTTCATCAAATTAACCATGTAGTTAACGAAAATGATCGTAGTTTGGACCTCTGCTTCGTGAGCACACAGGACAGGGCTCCATTATGTTTCCTCGGCTTCTTGAGCACAAACTAACCTAGTTCCACATCACCCTCCTTTAATTGTCACTGTTGAGGACAAACTCGTGTGTGATTTCGACGATCATCCTGCTACGGTTTCTTATGACTTCCGTAAAGCTGACCACCGTAGCATCATAGATGTATTGTCTAGCATGGTATGGGAGAACAACCTTGATCCAGATGACGTTGAGGCTGCAGCGCAAACCTTTTCACATGTCTTGGCATATGTCATTGACAGACTTGGTAAGCTGCCTTGGAGATACCCGCTTCGTTTTCCAAGCTACGAGAATCGCTACCAATTGATCAATGTCGAGCCCTTACGTATCCGAAGAGATGGTTTCAGAGCCTTAACCGTCGCCGATACTCTGCAAGGAAGAATCGACTGCGAAGCAATTCTGCAACAAGTGAACATTAATGTTCAACCTCGATCACTACGCAACAGTCTTATGCTGAGACTTCCACTTCTTCGAACTAATTATAGCTTAGGGAGCGCTATTTACGGCTTGCAGCGAGTGTTCACCCGAGTAGCGTCGATGTCCGATTTCCACTTGACACGGAATATGCTTCGCCGAAGATTATCTGCCTTTTTTTGCTGACCGAAGGCGCTTGACGCCCAACAGCTAAGTGTAAAATTTAAGACTTATACATTTTTAGTAACTTGACAATGCTTTTCTAGTTATTTTCGTTTGTAACTGTAGTATATGTAGTCTGTATAATATGTAGTTTTTTTTTACAACACATCAAATAAACAAAAGAACTCACCACAAAGTGTCTCACCCTTCCTGGCAGACGAGAGAGCTACGTAGGTTGAAGTCAATCAAGAGAGCATCATTGAGAAGATTTACGAAGTATCGCACGCTTTCTCTGAAACTACATTATGTGAAGCTGAATCACATGTACCAGCGAGTCAGTCGTCAATGCTTTTCAAGTTTCCAACGAGGCATCCAGCGCAAACTTAAGCTAAACCCGAAATCCTTTTGGAACTACGTGAACGAGCAACGCAGCAACGCAACTGCCAGAAACGTTCCAGTAAATGATCAAACGCTGGGTGCAATTGATGTTAATGCTGAAATGATTTCCAAGGCCGCGACTCTGCTCAAGTCATTCTTCAATTCTGGACCTGATGGAGTTCCATCTGTATTGTTGAAGAGACATATTGCTAGCTTGTAAAATTCCGCTTCATCGCCTGTTCCGCATGTCTCTTTCGAGTGACATATTTCCATCCTACTGGAAATTTGCGCACATGTTTCCCGTCCACAAAAAGAGGAAGGAAACGAGCTGTGGATAACTATCGAGGAATTACATTGTTAAGTGCCGTTTCGGAGCTATTCGAGCTAGTGGTTATGGAACCGTTGCTGTCCCATTGCAAGCAGTATTTGAGTGCTGATCAACATTGGTTTACTGTCGGCCGCTCTACAACCACCAATCTGCTGTGTCTCACATCGTATAAAACCGAAAGCATGTCGGATCGGGTTCAAACGGACGTTATTTATTCAGACCTATCCGCAGCATTCGACACGTTGAACCATGCTATTGCGATTGCTAAAATCGGCAGGCTCGGTGTATGCGGTAATCTTCTGAGTTGGTTTCGATCATATCTTACCGGTCGCCAACTAAAGGTTGCCATAGGAGATTGCAGATCAGTTAGCTTTTTCGCCACATCAGGTATACCTCAGGGAAGCCACATGGAACCGTTGATTTTTATACTGTACTTCAACGACGTGCATCTGATCATCGAAGCTCCTCGGTTATTATATGCAGATGACCTCAAAATCTTCATACGAATCCGCTCCATTGCTAGCTGTCACTTTCTTCAAACGTCAGTTGAATGTATTCGCTAGTTGCTGCAGTTTACACATAATGGTAGTGAACCCAGCCAAATGCTCCGCTATTACGTTCTCACGAAAACAACAACCGATAACATTTCGCTATGACCTGCTTGGCTCGACAATCGAACGCGTGAATCAGGTGAAAGACTTGGGTGTGATCTTGGATTCGCAGCTGTCATTCAAGCAACGCATTGCATATGTTGTCGATAAGGCGTCAAGAACTTAAGGGTTCATTTTTAGGATAGCTAGAAACTTCACCGATATCTATTGACTAAAATCTCTCTATTGTTCGCTTGTTCGATTGACGCTTGAGTATTGTTCAGTGGTTTGTAACCCAAACTAAAAACAACGGTGCCGAGAGAATTGGATCTGTTCAACATAGTTTTCTTCGTTTTGCGTTGCGTAGATTGCCTTGGAATGATCCATTTCGATTACCCCGTTACGAAAGCCGTTGTCAACTTACCGACCTAGAAGTTCTCCGGACTAGAAGAGACACAGGCAGAGCGTTGAACACGTTGTATGAAAGAAACAAAACTCGAGTTCATTTTAGAGCTTCGAATATGTAGAGCCATGGGTGGGACCCCAAAAGGGGATTCCTTAATTACATAGGGTGGCTGTCTTAACACTGTCATTTTGTTGGAGAATTCCATTTTCGTTGCGTTGGTCTGTATAGTTGCTGATGTGGGTGGGTAGTTGTGAGATTCAGGTTCCAAGTGTGGTCCGTTGTTATTGCGTTTGGTTTGGTATGGTAAGTGAGGTGATCAGATTCGATTGAACATCGCGGATGCTTCCCGAGATATCGTAACGGGTTCTTTGTGCTTCGTATTTCGGACAGTGGTAGATAATGTGATCCACCGTTTGTGGAATTTGCCATAGATCGCAGATCCTATGGAATGGTCCGTCTCCCTTGTTGTTGTGAGAGTTGTTTGTATGATGTGTTCGAAGTCGTATGCTATGTAACGGTGGGCCCGCCCACCTGGTGATGTCTTCTTGAATTTTTCTAATGACAGGGGTTTCACTGGCCGCCCAATCGCGAGCCCATCCTTCGTTGGTGTCTTTTGATACCCATTTTTTGAGGTCATGACCAGGTACAAGTCACGTGTACTTGGCCATGCAACGACCTGAGTTGGCTAGATGATCCGCTTCTACGTTACCTTGGACCCCGCAGTGTCCAGGTATCCACACAAAGACTGTTTGGCGCGTATTCCTGTATCGGCTGGATCCAGGGTGTTTGCACGATTCAGAAGAAGTGATGAAATAGACATTTCAAAAACTAGAAGGTTGATCCATAAGCAGTATTTCGAAACTGCATATAGGGTAAATGATGGCTTCGGCAGCCATCGACTGTTTTCGGCAACGACAATTT